GTGTTATTACTTGCGTTATTCTGTCAGATCATATTTCAATTATTTTAGCTTCTATTTCGTTGATTATATTCCACTCTCCCTGGTAAGTTTCACAAAATATTGCGTGCAAAATTTGAAATCGCCGAGTAATAACGGCAGGTAGACGCGCGCGTCACGCGCGGTGTTTGAAAAGGGGGGAAAAAAATTGCCATCGCGCGAAATCATATCATGACTTGAGCGCGGTCGCGAATGTACAGCGCTATTCAAACGCATTAAAGGATATTTGACCGAATCGTGATTGGAGCGTGAATGGAATATGACCATCCGTCATAACGTGAATCGAGTGCGCGTTTATTGCGTGGGAATATACATCGATTTGCGCGCGGTCGCTAATATGTACGTTTGTATCAAAATCTATCTAGCTACAGATAGCTAATAAATTAATTGGCCGCAAATAATTAATAAATAATTAAACAATCGGATCGCAAAAACCATATTTCATTAATGGAATTAATAACCAAGCTTTACGGTAAACTCACGAGAAGTTTGCCGACAATTCACGCGCGAACTCTTCCTATGTTCGTTACGATGATCGCACGAAAGTGCAGGGAAAAAAATGTTACCTGTCCTGCGAGAAAAAGCGATTACTCGGTCTATTTTTCCTCCTTTCAAATTATCTTGAGCAAGAAAAATATTTTCTTGACGTAGTATTAAAATATATTCATTACAAACATTAGAAAAGTTCATGATCATTTATTTAAAAGGAGAATTTGTTCTCTTTTTAACTAGGATTGAAAATATATTTGGAAATTTGATGTGTTTACGATGAACTTACGACATACTTGGACATATACTTATTTCAAGTATTTTTCATAACTTTATGTATCCGCGAGTATATCATAAGTTCACCATAAGCGCATCAAATTTATTCAAAATATACTCTCAATCCTAGTAAGATTAATACTTCGATCAAAACTATTACATTAAGATAAAACTTCGGATTTTTTTGGTTGCGTCGCAACTTTCAGATATTTCTATAAAGCTGGCACGCAACTGGCGTTCAGCGATTAATCGACGTTTTACATACGGTTGCACGTAAACATCGTTTGACCTCCTCGATGAGTGTATTCAACGTACATACTTTTTTTACTTATTCCAATTAATCGAATTTAACTTCTCTTCGATAAAGTTTATAATATTCTTGAAAAGAGAACATATTTTTCTTTGGAGCAAATGATAATGAGCTCTTTTAATACTCGTGATGATCATATTTTAATACTATTATCAAGAAAAAATATGTCCAAGATAATCATTATTCAAGAGTAAAAAAATAAGCCGAGTAATTGCTTCTCTTCGCAGTATAAGTAATATTTTTCTGTGCATAGAAAAAAGTTAGACCGTATAAATCAAGAATGAATACTTTCATATATAAGCAAGAATATTATAATTTTCTTCGAAGATTTTCCGTCTCGATTTAATTGAATTTGGATCGACGCGAGTATCAGTTGCGCTCGAAACAAAAAACCCCTAAGAATATCACAATCACATTCTCGCTACACATGAGAATATCTATCATAGATTTCGAAGACTAGTTTTTCCCGTGTGCGTGTGTCGAATTTAGCCGCTGAAGTTGATCGCGCCGTATGCGGATCACCGGCGAGATGCAAAACCGCGCATATCTGCGGCGGAAAGTGAGAGAAAGAGAATCTCACGGAAAGAGACACGCGTACACACCGAGTCCGACCGCTCGGTCTAGTCGCTTCGTCGCTTTGCGAAAGCCTGCGACGTCGATCTTTCTGCGCTTCGGTGTTTACACGGACGCGCGAACAAATCCGGTCCATTCTCGCGGCGCTCGGGAGCGGGATCGCGGGACGGCCTCGAAAGCTCGATTCACGCGAGTTTCGGCCGAGCTTGAGTTTGCAGCTTTTCGTGCGGATCCCGCGAGCGTGCTCGCTTTCCTGCCGCTTTTGCGAGCCGAGGTGTGGCTGTTGTGGCGTGCGCGCCGCTCATTTGCGCGTCCGCCCGACTTTGAGTGGCGCCGTTAGTGGCTCTGCCTCTTTGCATTTTTACTACGTTACATCTTGTTTATGCCCGCGCGTTAATTATCACCGACTCCGGAAGAAAGGGACGACTACTCTCTATCGGTCACATCTCTCTTTCTCCCTCTCTCTCTCTCCATCCTCGTCTATCTCCCGGTCGCATTAAATGGAATGAATATAACGTGGCGCTAATTAGCTCGGCGGGGATCGCGGAATTGAATGGGGCAGGTACGCGAGATTAGGCGCGCGATCGTCGGGAAAGAGATATCATCGGCCACGCGATCACGGAGACGATGGTATCTATCTCGGTACGTATCGAGATGCGTAGAGCGCGTGATAAATACATGCCGAGGCACTGAGCGTACACTTCGAAACAGCGGGAGCGATCAAAAGTGCAGTCGGCGCGATCGGCTGAAGCGGTGCGCGATGACCGCACTGTTATCATTTCACGACGGCTACGAGAAAGAGAGGGAGAGAGGGAGGAAGTGTCCTCGAATCGATAAACCTGACGCATCGGGCCGACGGCAGGGAAGGAAGCGGCGAGGGAGGTGGATGGACGATCGCGTGTCGCGGCCCGAATCGCCCGTGGTCCGCTCTTAATTTTCGTCGCCCTGCCGCGTATTTAAGCTCCGCGCGCGAGAGAGCACTCTCCGTCCTCTGGCCGAGCGGCTCCAATACGCGCGCATCTTCCGCCGTGCTACGTGCTTAACGCGCGAATGCACCGCGCTAATACACCGACGCGCATAATGCGCGTAGGTACATAACGAGGAGGGACAAAGGCGCCTAGAGAGAGAGAGAGAGAGAGGAGCGGAGAAGACGAGTGAGAGAGAGAGAGAGACAGGCCGAATGAGAGATGAAACCGACGGAGAGAAAGAGAAGGGGTAGGAGGGAGAGAGAGATGAGGAGAGCCAGTAGATTAGTTGGGTATATCGTGCGGTTGTGGACGAGGACGTTGGGTATAGGATATATATATAGATACACCAACGGCGGCTACCATCGCGCGCCACGGTAGGAAGAGACGAGCTAGAAGGGCGGGATAGAGAGGGGTCGACGGAAGAGGGGGGGGG